TATATATTTATTTCATATATATATAAGCTTTATATATATTATACATTAATATAATATATATATATTATAGAATTTTTTTTTATTATAAGATTGCTTTTCATTTTATCATTGAGCAGATAATAGCAAATAATATAGTTAGTCTCATACTATGGCAATAAAATAATGCATATTTAGAAAGTCATCATTTTTTTATATATGAAGATAAAAAATATTTCAATAATGTTTATATTATTTTTTAATTGCATAAAGAGTTTTTCTCTTACATATGTGATATAGTATTATATTTATCTAAATATATTTATTTTAGTATTTAATTAGAGATGAATGTTTAAAAATATCACTTTTATATGTGTACATGTGTATATATATAAACAATGTCAATTTTTAATATTATAACTTTAACACATTAATAATAATGGTAATAAATACATGCAAAGCAATTTTTATACAATTGTATACAAAATTATATATTACCTTTTCCATGTAATTAACTCAATATGTATATATTTATTTTTATTATATTTACATTCTTTCAGGTTTGAATAATATATTTATGATTATTTCTATATAAAATAAACATGTTAGAATTTTAATTTATTCATTGTTTGTTAGAAAGATTTCTTATGCATTAAATTTTATCAAATTTATAATTTCTACTTAATTGTAAATGCAGAGACATTCTGTATGCAGCATGCAATACAGACATTTCTTTGATTGATGCTTAAGCATTTTAAACGAAGCAATAAATGAATATGTGCTTTGTGCAGCTTTGTGTATCCATACAAGTATATACTCAGTTATATGAAAAGGGTTCAGTTCATCATTTGAAGCTGCATCAAGGAGATTACTTAATTACGAACTAGGTACGTGTTTGTTTATATATTTTCATTATTGTATATTTGCGTTATTGATAGTGTGCAGCATCAAAGAAATTGATCCCTCTTCATATCCTTTAGATATTTCTTTTGTTTAGATCTTTAATTTAATAACATTATTTCTATGTTTCAGGAGGAAACTCCACAAGGTTTTTTTGAAGATCATGGTCTGGGATAATATTTTCTAAACAATATATCCAGTTTAATGTAAGTGGTGTATTCTTACAACACTGCTTCAACATTCCAGAATTTTATTTACAATAAACTTTATCAATTAGATTTAAATGTATGGTACTGCAAAAATAAATTTAAATTATGTTTTAATTAAAATCATATTTTTATTATAAAATTTTATTTAAATGTAATTACATATAAAAAGTTATAATCACTGTTTGAAAAATCATTGAAATCTAGTTATTCTATACATGTTAAAAAATAAACAAATTGTTTCTCTTTATTAAAATATTAGCAGTACTATACTATATTTATAATTATATATTATATAGATATATATACATGTTTTTTTAAGTTCATATATTATTTAACCCTTTATATTTTATTTATTTTGTAAAATGATTCTATTTATTTTTATTATATTTCCTTTTCGTTTTTAATACGTTTCGTTTTAATATAATTTACAAAGAAGATGATATTATCAAATAATTGCTTTCAAATAAATTTATAATTATATTATTTGAATTATACATTGTTTAATTCTTAAATTAATTGTTATGAATTACAAATACTGTTTGTGTATTTTTTCCATTCTAATATATATATAATATATTAGAATATAAGCAATAATAAATAAAGAAATATGATTTATATATAATTGTAAAAAGATTGAAATATTTTTCAAATTTTTTTGTGTACAATATTTAAAGAATTCAATCATTATATAAACTGTTATATCTTTTTTTCATGGATGACTCTTATTAAATTATTTATACTATATAAAGGGTTAAATAATTAATGATTATTCAATAATATTATAGTTATAGATGTATTAGTGTATTCTTCGCGAGGTGCTTCTTAAATTTTCATTTGCATTTAATTATTTTTTAAATTGAAGTATATAAGTATTTAAAAAAAGTTATTGTGCTCTATTAATTTTTTTATTAATAGTGAAATTGTGTTTTATAGTTATTATAAATAATAATGAATTTGACTTTGGCATTAAAAAAATATATTGTTTAAAAATAATTTTACAATTTAAATGAAAGCAAATTGAAAAAAAATAAAGAAGTAATATTTGAAAAAATATATGAAAATATTTAGAAAATAATTAAAATTTGAAAAATTTTATTTTATAAGAATTATTGTCTCGAATGATTATTAAAAAAAATTATGATTAGAAAAAAATTTAATTGCATTGCTATAAAATTTTTCAGTTAAAGATTTATAGCTAATATATGTTTAACATAATTCTTTTTAATAGATATACTGCATATAGAAAATTGAAGTTTTTTAAGAAATATGAATTGAAATATAATAAGAAAAATAAATTAACAAAATTGATAAAAGCATTTTGATACCATTGAATCTTGATGAGCAAATTACATATTTTTCTCATATATATGCTATAAGTTTCTGAACAATTGTTATCGCTATATGAAGAAATTTTTCTTGTTATAATTAATAGTTGAATACTCGAATTTAATATTTGTTTAAGAAGTTTGAAACAGCATTTCCAGTTAATTAAATATATTTTTTATTTATTATTTAAATAATTAAATAATTTAATTAAATTTCATTCAGATCTTTTATATATTTTTATGTAATTCAAAAATATGGAATATTTATGAAATTTTGAAAAGAAAAAAAAACAAAATTATAAAATATAATAATTTTTTAAATTAAACTTTAAAAGTATAATTAAATATAAAAATATTTAATCAATAATCTATAATTTATCTTTTAACTTACTTTTCTTTATGAAAATATAATAATATAAAAATAATTTTGAAATGTTTGTTATTAATTATAATAAAAAATTTGAATTATTATAATCAATTATTTCATAGACTTTAAACTGGATATACTGTTATACTGACTATTTTCTAAATTTTATTGAATTGATTAATAATAGATGAAATAATAGAGAATCCATTGGAAAGATTTTCACCGAATGATTATGCAAATCATTTGTTTTACACAGAATGACTTATTTTAAAGAAATTATTTATTCAAAATATTCAAAATATGTTAAGTTGGAAATAAATATGTTCAATTTATAATTTGACTATTTTTTATATAAATAAATCATATAAAAGATCAATCGGAACGAGATTGATTAAAAAAAAAAACATCTGAAGAACGTTAATCACGTATTCTGACATTAAAATCAGAAAATTTAAAAAAATAGTTAGCTTTAGATACATTATTCTTATGTAAAAATAATTTAGTGTAACTCAAAAAAATTTAAAATCCTTCAAGAATACATTTATGTCATTTATGTCATTTTTTTCCATTTCCAACTTAGCATAATTTTCTTAGATAAATTTATAAAATTTAAAATCGGTCATTCCGTATATGCTGACTGGAAATGTGAAATGACTGACGATAATATCGATTTCGCTGAAGCATCGCCTTATGATATTTTTTCAATGCAGTTGATTATAAAAATATTCATGTTCCTGTTAATCATCATCTTCTTATAGCATTATATTTTTGCGCTATTTGATCGCCAATTCGTTCTTTCACATTTATTCCAATAGCGGGCGATAGAAATCGATATTAAAATATGCAAGTTTGTATCGTTACTAGAACCATATAGTTTATCAAATATGGAAAAATGTTCACTGATTGTATTTAAGAGAGAGAAATAAAGAGAGAGAGAGGGAGAGAGAGAAAGAGAGAGAAAATTTTCATAGTAATCGCGATAAATATATGACAACTACGCGAACACTTTGGGAATTTGCATAAGGACAATAAAGTTTAAGCACTGTTCGTTGAATTGTTTGTTCATGGTATTGATACAAACTAATAGAAAGCGTTATACATATCTGAAAACTATATAAGTATCCACCAGTTTTCTATAATTTATCTAGATGTAGATCGAAATGTATCGTGGTGTATACATCCACGAATTATATCATTTCAACCGGTTCATTTTGATATTCTATTTTATACGTTCTATTTTATCTCGATATTTTATTTCGTTTTTGTTTTGCGAATTTCTTTAACGAGTTTGAAAGAGGTATAGTAATTTTGGTTGATATAACGAAAATGCTAAGTTTCAAGTGAATTGATAAATTAAAATATTAAGGTGATGGTATTTCAAGGATTAAATAAAATTTAGTAGTAGTAAGTTTTAATAATAACAATAATAATGAATAAATTAAATTAATATCAAAGTTAAGTTAAAAAGTCAATTTAAAACTTGAAATCAATCAATAATTTTTTTTTTTTTTTTTAATATCATTGTGACATCTATTTTGACCAAATTTACTATACTTAACAGATGATTTTCTTAATTGATTAAAATTTTTTAATCGAATACAATGATTACAAGATTTATAAAAATATCGTTTAACATTGCTAGACAATATGAATGTTTACTATTTGGGAATTCGATTTGTATAATGAAAGGGAAATGAATAGAAATAAAAAAAAAAAAAAATACAGAATAATATGAAATATTGATTACAATGATAAAATTAACCCAAAGAAAACAACATATTGTCTAGGAATTTTATTTTTTTGTTTATTTTATTTTATATCACATTTTATATTACATATATCTATATATTCATAAATGATTTCACCAAACAATATATAGAATAATTTTAATTATATAAAAAAAAATGGCTATGTTTAAATTAAATACGTTTACTATTTTGCGTTTTAAGTATTAATAAATAATGGTGCACGTAAACTGATATAATTGCATTGTTTTCTGTACCATAAGCACTTTATATACGTAAACTTTAGCCACGTTATTATTATATATAATCATTATATTTTTCGTTAGATTAATGAATATACGTAAGAATACAATAGCAAAGAAACTTTTGTTCGATAGTATTTCGCATAAGAAGAAATCAAAATTAGAAATTAAGCGCTCAGAATTATTAGAATTTGGTGGTAAAGAAGGATTAAAGTATTAAATAAAATTCAAGAAATAATACGAACCAATGTTAAACATATGAATATGTATTTACTATATAAATATATGAATATTATATTTGAAAAGACGATGCTTTGTGCTCCGTCCAATAATAAAATATGTGATGTAAAAAAAAAAAATTTTTTTTCTTCATCCTTTTCCTCTTATTAAATGATAATTTGAAACTTTCCACTTAATATATATATTTATAATCTGAAAATGATAAATTGGCAAATGATTATTCTGTCTGTCCTATATATTTAATTTTCTAAATTAAAGTTACAGCATGAACGTGCATTAAACTGTTGAACGAAGGGAATGAACACAACATGGACACGCGAATGCGTTTCCTCGTCCATTTCCGATTGGATATTGAAAAATCCTATACGAACCATGCTGTCGAGATTTTCATTATCGACGTTTGTGGTATTCATTGTCGACTACGTACTTCAAGGATTCATGCAACGGCAAGTCGATGATGGGTGACAATAATATCGCAAATAACAATGTTGTATTATTCGTAAAACGCAGGATAGAAAATGTTAATTTTAATCAAGTATAATAAGTTGACAAGAACCGACTGACACGATTGATCACACAAGTTAGAATATATTTTCTGTATATTATATTTATATTTTATAAGAATAATATATATGTTAAGAAATATTTTAAATACAAATTATTCCACGATTCAGAATAAATCGAAATGGAGAATTTGAAATTTAATAATAATTTCGTTTCTTAAAAAAGAAATTTTACGAGAATTTTAATCGAGAACATATATATTTCTTTGATCACTTATCACAACAGATGTTTCGAAGAACTTATTATCATGATTTACAAGTTCTATCAATATTAACTACAAGTTTCTTTATTGACAAATGATACGACAAGATTGAGTATCGGTTTTTTTTTACATTTCAAAATGTATCTTTCTCACGAATTGATTTCATCTTATCACTATATATATATGTATATGTGTGTATGTGACTAAAAAAGAGAGAAGAGAGAAAGATGAAAGAATAAAAGATAACGAGTTGAATTTTTTCTTTATATTTTCTTTATATTATTCTCGAATGACTAATATAAAATAATAATGAATATATTTGTGTTAATATAGTCATAATTGCATTAAGTTATAAAAAATAAAATTTGCTTATCTTAAAATTATCTGAAATAATAATTAAATTTTAATAAGCTAGATGTTTCCGACGAAATTTACAAGTATAAATTATTAAATAAAGTTATAAAGTTATAAATAACTAAATTTATCCCCTTTTAGATTGTACTACGTATTTTCACGATCATATACATATCTACATCCAATCAAATCAATAACGGAGACAAGACATTTACTCTTCCTAATTATATCGTCGACTCCCGTTCAAATTCTTTTCAACTGTTCAATAAATTTCCATATAAGTGAACAACAAGGCAGCTAATCAAAAAAATTAACCATTTTTGACTTTAATATCATAGATAGAAATGCTCGATGCCTGTAATACTGAAATAATTAAAAACGAACTACTCTTTTACTCTGTTTCGAATACAACGCGAGATGAAACAACGAGGCTAGCAAAACTTCTCCAATCTATCATCCATCCGCGTTTTATATTCACCCTTATAAAGCTTCTCAAACGAACGATTTCCAAAAAAAAAAAAAAAAAAAGAAAAGAAAAGAAAGAAAGAAAGAAACGACGAAAAAACGACTCGTTCGAAGAAAACGAGCAATAAAATCCGTGCGACGGAGGAAGACGAGGTACGGTCTGTCCGTGGAGCGGCTCGTACGATGGAATGGGCTGTGTGCACGCATGAAACGTGAAGCGCGTTGCGCGAGAGGAACGCTGCGGATCCGCGTCGGCGCGCGAGCAGCGCAAAGCGTCGACGGCTGGTCGTCCCTTTGACGTCGTCGAGGCGAGTCGTGGCGGCCTCGAAAGCCCGATACGTGTGTGCATAAAACGGTGTCGTTTCGCTGCTGCCGGCCCCGATCGAAGCGTGTTTCTCGCTTCGGGAGAGGCTGCCTTTGTTCGCGTGCACCGGGAGTCGATATCTCGGCCAGTGGCGTGTACGAAAACGGAAACGGAGGAAGCGTAGCTGCTCCTCCGGGCTCGTTGTCGTGTGTCGGGAAGGTAGTACAGTGGGGTGGAGCGGCGCCGTCCCGACGTCGCTCACGGACCCGATAACACCGGACCACGATTACCCAGTGCCCTAGTCTTCGTTCTTGGATGTGCGTGCACTTACGCGCGTGTACTCGCGTCGCGTAAATTGGAAGAGAGAAAGAGAGAAAGAAAGGAAGAAAAGAAAAATGTGACTGTGAAATTGGGGGAAGAACAAAAAAAAAAAAAAAAAGAACGATCGAGACGTTTCGAGATGAACGCGTTCGAGAATATTTGAAAGACTTATTATGAAAGCGATCAGGACGTTGAGGATCGTATCTTCGTTCACGAGAAAGGATCGTGTCACTTGACCTATCCATCATTACGTGATCATACTACGTGACTAGGAATATATAATATTTTCCCGTACCACCTCGAAATTTGAAAAGTAGATGATTGTCGAAGGAAATATAAGATAAGAAGGAAGATAGAGGAAAAGAATTAATCAAGGGAGGGGTAAGATCTTGGAGGGTAACCCCCTCGAATAGGGGGCACCCTCGCGCGAGAACCCAGCTGGCCTGTGCATGATTCCGTCACTGCACGACGGTGGTGACGAAGGGGCTGATGTCAGTGCGGCCACTCGGCGCCCGCTCCGTGGCTCGGATGCGCGAACGCGACACCCGCATCGTCGTCGTACCGCGAGTGAAGCTCCCGGCGGAGGCGGAGGCGGCAGTAGCAGCGGCCGATGACGGTGATGGTCAGCCGCGAAACAGTGGTGACTGCTGACTGGTGCACGATCAAACGCAATCTCTGTACACGGCCGCGTACACGGTGCCGTGCCGGTCGGTCGGTCGGTTTTGGGGGCGCAGCTTCGGGGAATAATGCGCGTTAGGCACGTTACGCGACGACGAGGACGACGGTACGACGCGAGGGACCCGAGCGGCCAGCCGCGGGTGCAGCTGCAGCAACGCAATTATGTACGCGTACGGTTTCGAGATCACGTAGTGGCTGCCGTGTAATTATGTTGTCATCGACGCGCGGCGCGCCCTGTGTAGCTTCACGGTGAAAATCTGGCGTGAGCGGTGCCGCGGTGGAACGGGGAACATGGCGTCGGTCTCGGCTGAGACTCCAGCCAGCCATGGGCACAGCTTCAGCAAGAAGACGTTTCACAAGCCGACGTACTGCCATAGCTGCACCGACATGCTGTGGGGCCTCATACAGCAGGGGTACATCTGCGAAGGTGAGCTCCATCTCTCCTCCTCTTCCTCTCTCTCTCTCTGAAACCTACCCCAATTCCTTGTTTATTAGTCTTTTCATCGCTTATCCGATTACGTATGCGATTGAGTGGAGCGGTAGGTGAAACTCGTTGAGCGAGGTTTAATTATCGTTTATCGCGAGATCGAGGATGTTTGGGTGGATATTTGTATGTATTTTGGATTGGTAGTTGGATGGTTCACACTTGCCCATCGATCTTTCCATTTTATAAACGATATATCGAGTTTTCTTGGAATATATGTATATATTCGAATGTAGGTGAAATGGAAAGTGATTTTCCGGACGAGATTTATTGGAACATGAAAAAATCGGTCGAGGGAGAGGCAGGTTGGAAGGATGGTTTATCGAGGGGATTAAGTGGTATATATATATATATATATAGGAGTTTGTGACCAGTGTCGGGGCAAGTTTTTCACGGAGAAACCGCAAGGCAGAGGACCGATCGATAATGAGCGCGTTCGGTAACGAAATCGAATACGCGGCGCGTTGCCGCCGAAGTATGCTCGTCCCGCCTTTTCACGGGCTCCGAAACCTTGGTCGGCGTGCAAAGTTGAAGCTGGCTGACCTCCAAGAATGATGAATGGCAAGTGCCCATTCATCGTATGTACAGAGGGTGGTACGTTCATCCAGAAAAGACCGTTGCTTCCTAATTCCTTCTAACTTTTAATCGAATTCCCAATTTGGAATTTTCATTCTTCTATCCCCTGTCATTGTGCTCGACTCGTAGACTAAGGATGCGAGATACGGTGGCTCGAATAACTTTCAACTTTGCACTCAACTAAAAAGTTTAAACAAGTAGAAACTGATTTAAAAAAAAAAGAACAACTGTAATTTCTATTATAATTATTAAATTTGTTATATTTTTAATCGATTTGTCTTGAATATTTAGCATCTTAATCTACGTAAACTTTAGATATTCATCGATTTTAAAAGTTTGCTCGATGACTTAGGTTCAAATTTCAAAATGTATCGTTCAACTTTAAAATTCATCTAAAAAGTCAAAGCTGAAAACCTGTGCCCTAGTTTTTCAACGTGACATTCGAATATTTTTGCCCGATATTATCGAGCATTTAGATCCCGAGGTATCAACAGCGACAGATACTCATCCACCCCTCACTAATCGTTCCAAATTGTCCACAAATATTTCTCCAACGTATAACCCCAAACATTCATCTTCGAACAACGAGCAACAACTTTCCATGAGAATCCATAATTGTTTCCTCGTGCACGATTCTCGCAAACCCACCATCTTTGGAGCTGATAACGGGGCGCCACATTTCCCACCCCGTCACGATTTGCGCACACTCCCATTCGAGTGTTTACCCCTTGCAGCACAGGACTAAGAGAACGGGAGGAGGAGCACAATAGCGAGAATTCAAATTGTTGTTTGTCCCCGTTTGGATCCCGTTTTCTTTGCAGAAAGAAGGAAAGAAAGAGGGAAAGAAAGAAGGAAAAAAGAAATGGAAAAGGAGACGGATAACTTTGGAAGATTTTGCAAGAATTGTTTCCCTTTTCTATCGTGGAAATTCGAGAGCAACGACAGCACGACTCGGTTAAGGAAAAATCGAGATGGAAGGAAGGCGAGGGCGCGCGCATCGAGCCTTTTCACAAGCATTGATCGTGGGGGGTGGTGTGGGATAGCTGATAGACTCTGGAGAGAGAGCAGGAGGAAGGAGTACGCGGCGAGAGAGTTAGCTTGGGTCGAGGGGTGTGAGGGTGTGCGCGAAAGAAAGAGCTCGTCGAGGAGCGGAGGCCACCGTAAAGAGTAAGCATCCGCGGACACTTTGCAACTTGGTTACTTTATCGTTTGATCAAACGATGGATTTGATTCGTGAATATTAAGGGCACGATGAGCGATGTCGAATAATTTTGACAGAATGGATGACAGCTGCATTTGTTGAAGTTTGTTAAAGATGTAGAGCGATGTTAATCGAGTGCATGTAAATATTTTTCCAGAGCTATGGATTTTCCGTGAACATTTTAATTTAAATATTGATAACTGATTACCCAGTTTTCATTTTTTACAAGTCGAGGATAACGAGTTTATCGTATCAATTTTTTCGACATTCGAAAATATTCTTTAAAAAATTTAATGAAGATAAAGAAATAAAAAAGACTCTTTTACACTCTTATTTAAATTATATAATATTTCAATCTTCTTCTTCTCTATTTTTATTTCTAAAAATAATTTTGTATATCGATACGAACATAGATGATAAAGCATTCTTCCAATCAACAGTGAACGCGTTAAATACAAGTATCCTCGACTCTCGAGAGCCCCAGACACTCGACAGTCATCACTCTTCTCGAAGAACGTGTTCAACAGGGAAGCATTTTAACATAACAACAAGCATCGAGCCGAAGCGATAACACAAAGCACAGAGCAATGCAGTTGGTCGGTATTACCGCGGGCAATTAGGGAGAGCCCAAGCAGAAACGGAATTCAAGATGAGACGAGATCAGATCAATCAGGAATGTCGCTTTTAAACAAGACACAGCGGTCCGCTGTTAGACTCGTCGATCAGGAATATCTGAAACGTGTATACATCTACATCGACGCATTTCTGTTCGATACGCCATCGAGATTTTCGATTTCTAGAATATGTATGGACGTATCAAACGATATTGTTCCGCGAAAAACCGTTCATCCTTGTTGATTTACTTTTCTTAATATCTCCCCAAATTCGTCCTCTTTTTCTTGTTCTTTTCTTTTCTTTTCTTTTTTTACGATCGAAGTATTGAATATAAAAAAGATAAGAAAAGTGGTACGTTAAGAAGAGAATTCTGAAAGAGATGGATACGTGTGTGATCAAAGATTATACGAATATTCGGAATACTTTGGAACCGATATCTTTAATTTTAGCTTTCAGTGGGATTTTCAATTTCGATCGATATCGAATATTCGGATCACGATAGATCTCTCGAGGTTGTTGCTAGAAATGTAGCAGGATCTGGATTTCTTCGTTTGATTGTAAAAACATCGGGAATCGAATATACGTTGAAATGTAGAATTAATTCTGTTTGATATTAATCGAAACGTTCGAAACGTTGATTTTCTCGGTTTGATTAAGGAAATGGTAAAGATTAATCGATATTATAATGTCAACAAGTATTAAAGAAACAAGAAAAGTTTAACGAATTATTTGTTCTTTCTTTCAGAAAAACGATGAATGATTCGACAATACTTTAGAATTTAATTCATAAATTCTTCTTTACATTTCGAATTAAAATTTCGAGTTAAAATTTCGACACACTCGACTGTATAAGATTGTGTTATGCGTCAACACGAATATTTTATTTTGAATCACAGCATCTCGATAAATTTATTTTTCGCCTCGTTGATTCAGAGAGCTGTTTGTAAGATGAATACCCCGAGATTCGAGAATTTCGGGCAATGTCGTTCAACTTATTAATAGTCGTTCACCTCGCGATGCGGTGGAAAGAAATTTATGAAAAAAAAAAAAAAAAAAAAAAAA